CAGTTTCCGAATACCACCCTTCCAGTTTCCGAATACAACCGCTTCAGCTTCCGAATACCAGTTTCCGAATACAACCGCGCAGTTTCCGAATCCCAGTTTCCGAATACAACCGTTCCAGTTTCCGAATACAACCGCCGAGTTTCCGAATACAACCGTGGAGTTTCCGAATACAACCGTCCAGTTTCCGAATACAACCGTGACCCCATACGACTGCTCCCTGAAAATAGCTTCAAGTGGACACAGCGGAACCAGACGGCCAGAGGGTCGGACAGTGGGACAAATTGGATTAGGTGGGGTGGTATGACGATGTGTCCTGATGAGAGGTGATTTTCTTGAACAGATCTGTGGATGCAAAGCTTGACCAGCGAAGCTCGATGAACCCATTTCGTGGTGAAACCTGGATTCACCGGAAATTTCACCAAGGATTCAAATTCATCTGGTCACAGACGTGGATTCACATTACCATACCATGACATGACGTTTGTCCAGTAGTCCTTTTATCATCTTTTATCTATCCAACAATGCATGTGTCTTATTTGGAGACCTCCCTGATCCAAAAGGTCCTTTTTCCACTCCCGTGCCGTTTCAATCTGGGGTCTTCCAGCCTGGTCCGTGAAACACAAAACCGTTCCGCCGTTCCTCCAAGAATCCAGGCGTTTTTGGCGCCAGGCTGGTGTGACGCCAAACCAGACCAGCTATGCAATGCTGATCCAAGGCACGGTGGTCTCGGGAAGCCACGAAAGCAACTCGAAGAACGTTTGACGAGCAAAACGAAAGGATCCTCGTAGGGTTGAGTGGACTTTGGTGACAGAGTGACAGAATGGCTTTGGGAGGTTCGGCCTTTTCTGATAGTGAGCATCACAGTGAGCATCACTCGTAGATTGTCAGAGATTCCCTTCATGGCTTCTGTGCGCTGTGGGAACTTCCATCACCACCCGCGGCCCCAGGCTGGGCACGTGCTGGAGAGTTGACCCTTGCTGCGAGGCTGCTTTGTGTCAGCTGGTCGTGGAGAACTTGTGATGCTGTTTTGCATGCCCGGGTAGTTTGATGGTGATTAAGTGATGGTGTTTGATTTTGCATGTAGCCGAACTTTTCTAGTTTGTTATTTGGTTTAACATGCTGCATGGCTCAAACTATGTCTTGAGCCTTCAATCTTGTAGGTTTCAAGCAGTTTCGCTCCCTCTTCAGACAAACCAACCTTTCGCCTTTTGGAACTCTCTCAGGTGGATGGAGCGGCTTTGCTCTTCGGGGCACCGGCCCAACGAGGGCTGCTTTCTGGCACTGCTGGTGGCCTTCTGCCAGCGGAAGGACCTCAACTCGGCGGAAGCCACAGTGCAGGCAGGAAGAGCAGACTGAACAACACAGGGAAGAGGTTCCAAGGTTCAATGTGTAAATGTGACCCAATCGGTCATGGAACCGTGGTGTGCCAGGAGATGGTCCAGGAGTACCCCCATTTGCGGCCGCAGGCGGAAGCTTGGTGTGGTGGTTGGCACGCTGAGCTGTTCTATGATGCTTCGAGAAGTGGCAGTTCTATGAACTGCTGATTTGATGTTTAAACTAAACACATCTAAACACACTGATTGCTCTGTCGCATGCGGACTTGAAGACCAAGTTCGTTTAACGTACGAAGTAGGGAGGCATAGACCGAGTGCACACGCGGCGAAGATGTCCTTGTTTGCACCTGAAGGGGTTGCGAGTCATGCAGTAAGTTTCTTTTCATCACCGATCAGTGGACCACTAGTCCTAGTCACCCAAGCAGCTGACTCGCCCTGCTTGGGGCTGGCTGTCACCAGTTGTCTATACCTGGACGGGCATCTCCATGTCAATTTGCTTCAGGATGAGGCAACATGTTACAATTGACTCAATTCTTCTCCAGCATCGGATACTTGAAGGTCGTGAGTCCCGCTCTTGGGTAGAATCAGCGCCCTAGCGCTGAATTTCTTCACTCCTGCGGTCATTTTGCCGGTGAAGGCCCATACCATCCTGGTGGACGCCTATGCCAAGGAGGGCAACCTTCAGCGTGCAGAACATTGGATGCGACCGATCGCACAAGGTGTGACCTGCACGCGCGCGGTGGGGATGAAGAGCGCAGAGGAAGTCACGGGCGGTGTGGTTTGATTCTACCTGCGTCGGCTTTACAATGGAAGATCTGAGAAAGGTGATAATTAGGTGGCATCATAGACATGAATCATCTTGTCATGAAGACAGGTGTGACCTGAAACGAACAGTGTGGGTTGACACCAAAATTGGTAGGGGGTTCGAATTCTCGATCCATGCAGATGGCGAAGCCACCGTGGTGAGCTACGGAGCTATGTCGCTTGGATGTGGGTCAAGGCGGTCAAGGTCCACGAGTTCAGTTGGAGGTTTGCAACCCTGCGCATATTGTTTGCTGTTTGCCTAACTAATGAGAATCACATCCCCTCAAATAGTATAAACATATATATATATATGAGTCATAGCTGCCTTTTTCACCAAGTTGTCTTGCTGTCTGACAAAGGTTTTGTTTTCTTCGCCAGAAGCCAGAAGCTGCCATGTTTTGAAGATTTGCTCGGCATCCAACTCGTGGATTTTTGCGGAGAGCACCTTCTATCCGGTTTTTTGGTGCGACCACCCTGTTCATCCCAAGCAACGCCAACATGACTCATCAATATCCTGGATCTACCTTGGCCCCCAAAAAACACCATCCAGTGCCGGCTGCTCCAAGTTTGGACGCCTGCGCCAAGACGTCCCACGCCGTGAAAGCCATGGAGTGGCTCGGCCGTCGGCTCGTCCCCCTAGGGGGCTGCGGATTGGACGTTGCCATCGTGCGACGTGCCTAAAAATATGAAGAATCTTGATGAAATCAAGGAGATAATGGCGATGGCCTCCAACCTCTCACGTAAGAGCGATGTTTGTTGAGTTTGTTGAGTCTCAGTGATGGATCTTTAAGAAGTCCATTGTAAAAGATTCAATTCCTGGATGTTTGCATGATGTTAGGGACAAGTGGGTCATCCAGCAGACCTTCAGTGCACTGAACTGGACTTGTTGGAAGAGGGATTGCTATACAAGCAGACAGCTTCTTGTTTGATAAAGTTTGACCACTCAGTCTCCCCAAATGGTGTCCGACTCTGCTCCGATGAGACACATTCCATTCTTGGCATTGACCCAACCAGCAAGCAGCCTCATGATCAAACTTCAATCCACTAAAGTGACTAGAATGGCCCGAATGGCCACTGTCTGAGAGTCTTACCTGAGCTTCCAAGAGAAGATCCTCCTTAGCCCGCGGTTGTTCAGAGGTGGCACGAGCGGATGTTGACGCAGAATGTGAGACCGAATCTCGGAAGATCAATGGAGGTATTAGAAACAAGTGCATCGCTACTAGAAACAAGTGCATCGCTACTAGAAACAAGTGCATCGCTACTAGTAACAAGTGCCTTACTAGTAGTAACAATGTTCGCTATTAGAAACAATGTTTCTATTGTATGGCACTATCCCCGGTGATCAAACATTGAAATATCTCGAGGATAGATCCAGGGTGTCCAATCGGTGGACGTGAATGATTGTGAATCCCTCATAACTCATAATTAAGTTGTATTTTGCTTCCCTGAAGTCTCCCCAGTTGGACTCAAAGCCCATGTGCAGGGGAAGATAAGACACCAGACATTCCGTTCCAACTATTTATTGATTCTGCAGCAGCAAGAAAGAGGAAAGGGTGCCCTTTTCTTCACCCTTGAACAAGGTGTTTTTCACCCTCCCTTTTTTCAACCCCCGAAACCTTTCTCCACCAAGAATCCTTTTTTCCCATCCTTTGGAACCCTCTTTTTTGACCTTCTAAAACATTTTTTTCACCATGCACTCTATCATTTTCACCCTGTAGCATGCTTCTTTCACCCTTCACCCTGTTTTTTTAATCCCTCACCTTTCTTCTTCACCAGGCAGGTAATCCCTGGAACCTGCACAGAACCACGCACTGTCTCACGCAATATCAAGCAAGCCAACCAACCATCCCTGTCCATGACCCATCAATCACTGTATGTGTTTTCCCCAAATGCTGTTGATACTTGGATTGCATTGCAGGGGGGCGCTGCGCCTTCCCCCGCACCCCCTCCCGCCTATATTTACACAGCATCCATCCATCCATCCATCCGTCCATCCATCCATCCATCCATTCATCCATCCATGTGGAGGGTTGGAAAAAAACAGGGCGGGGTGAAAAAGGGGTTCAAGAGTGAACAAAAACCTGTTGCCCAAGAGGAAACTGTTTTGCACACCAGGAATCAGATTGAGTAGCTGCTTGTGAGTGCCAAAGCCAACCACAATGCGAGCAGTAATAAGTTCCTGGTAGTCATGCACCAAGAATTGTTTGGCGCATGGCCTGAACCTTTTGGAGAAGACAAAGTAATATGAGTTGGGTCGATGATCCCCTTGGTCTTCAGGAAACCATTTTTATGTCCCTGATTCCGCTGATCTTTCAATCTCAATAGTGCCAATTCATCCCTCCAAAACCTTTTGTGCCATCATGTTGTTTTTCATGCTTTTTATCCGTTTTCTGGCACTTTCATCCAACTTCTATAGAAACTGGAGGTGAAATCATCTGAGAAGAACAGGGACGTTTTGACTACAAACATGCTATAACTACCCATTTTCTTGTTCCTTTGTTTTCCACACAAACCTGTCATGTTTCATCCCATACTGAGCGTCAAATGCAGAAGCTCCAGGAACAAGCACACCTCTACTGCGCTGCTGACTGCTCTTGCTAGCTGCGGCTACCTTCAGGTGTGGTGGTGAAGTGGTGGGGTTTCGCACGAGATTGGACACACCTAGCGATTGGACACAGTCACCAAAAAGCTCGATCTATTGAGCATTATTGGGCATGAAGCTGGCTGGAACCTCCGGTAGCACACTGTGTGTCGCATCATGCTAAATCCATCTCAATAGGCATCCTCCCCTCCTCAAGCCGGGTATGTGTTGTCCAAGTAGATGTTGCCATACACTCACAAGATGCAATGAAGAGGGGCTTTTTCTCATTGGTACGAATGCGCATGCATTTGGGAAAGTCGCTGAAGACCTCGGACCGTCATAATAGCACCAGATCCAAACAAAAATAGCATACTGTACTGTAAATTGTATATTTGGCTGTGGCCAGGCTTTTGTTTGTCCAAGTCATGATCTCAAAAAAGAACGCACTAAATGGCGTGGCTCCAAGTCACGTGTACTTGGATTTCAAAAGGTGATTCTGTTGGTTGAGTTCACCTGGATGTGAATCAGCGGAACCGCCTCAGTTGCTCACTACGATTTTCGTGCGAGGAAGCTTTGGAGATCTTGAAGTCAATGGGTGCATATGGCCTGGTGGGAGATGTAGCTCGGCTTTGCCAGCCTTGCGCAAAAAATGTATATGTCCCTCGTGTGTTCTCCTGTTCTCCCCTACAAACTGCATTCTAGGCGAACCGCGCTCCAGAAACTACAATTAGAGACTGACTGTGGACATGTACAGATCTACTGACTACATGACTGGGTTTAGATCAATGCATCGCGGAAAACGGCTTGGACAATCTTTACCCTTTGTTTGTCTCAAACACTAACTAGCAGGGCCGATGTCAACATGGATGCACACGCTGTATGTTCCTTGAGTTTGCCATCACTTCCCTCATTCTGTTTTTTTTTTGACCTCTTAGGCAATCACTTACACCTCCTTGCTGGGCGCATGTGCCAAAGCGAGGGAGGTTGAGTGTGCGGAGCAAGTGTCTCTCGTAAGCATTGGAAGCCGGTTCGTGTCAAAACAGGGAAAGTCGGAAGGAGCACGTGTCAGTTCGGGGAATGGGCTTTAGCGGCTTTAGACTGAAAAGACATGTTTGGAATCCAACCCACGAACTCACGATAACTCACGAACCTTGTTAGTTCCTTAGAGGGCAATAACCATGTGGATAGAAAGGCGTCGTCACGTATCAAATTGACCAGTCAACACGGGTGACAATCAGCAAGATTTCAAAGCATGTCCAAAGACGGAAAGAACCATCATTTCACAATTTTCTCATTGACTTACAGAGCAGATATTAACCTGGGCTTTCTTCCATCCTGCAAGTTCTGAGTGTGAGATGAAGAGTATCGTGGGGACATCGGGATAGTAACAAGAAGCTACTAAAGGCTCCTGGCATCGCTACTAGGAGCATTCTTACTACTAGTAACTCCATTGCTGCACATTACATCACAACTTTCGGGTCGGGCGATTGGACACTGATCACTCCACTCAGGTTTGGGCTGATGCAAGAACGTGGGATCCAGCCAAACATCCTCACCTACACCTCATTGGCCATTTAGCTTTCCAGGGTGGGAAGGAAAGCTCATTGTATGTGGTTTCTGAGGGGATTTATGGCTTTACACTGAACAGTTTGGTTCGTGAAAAGTATGGAAGCTGCCCACATACGGTCAGTTTTGAGATTAAGTTTTCCTACACGATCTGCGTGGCTGCGTGTACCCGTAGTTTCCGGGTTGGAGTGCCCAATTGTGTTGGGCACAATTCTTTTTGGTTTAACCAAGATCCAAGATCAAACAGCCTTTGTTGTAGCTATCTTGTTCTGACCGTGATGGGTGCAGCAATGGTACACCATGTGATGTAGTCTCACTTGAGTTATTGCTTGCTTCCTCCAACAGCATTGACCAAAGTGACTTGAGATGTGTATGTAAAGTGGTCTTCAGGCTTTGCGTAAGCCTTTCCTGGAGTCCTTGCAGCAGGAAGACGATCAAACTTATATGTAGACAGTTTAAAGGTTTGAGAGTTGGTGCGGAATTGACTGACGGAAGTGGGGACCTTACGGTATCAGGTAGCCTGGCTGGTGAGGACAGGGCCTAAGGGATTGGCCCGCTGGTGCGGAAAATTTGTTTCACTGTGTTTCACTACAAGCTACTTCAATGTTTGCCCCTTGATGGGGCTCTTAGGGACCGCCCTTGAGCCATCCAAGCAACAGCCTGGCAAAGCTGCAGGCCCGAGCATATGCAAATTGTGGGAAGTGGCAGAAGGCGGAGAAGTTGGGTATACGGATGGAAGGCGCAGGAGACCTGCTAATCACAAGCTGGCTAGACGCATGTTACTTTTTGCGTATTGCTCTTGCTCTACCCAGTGCCTTTTGCCAATGCCATAGGACTCCGCATGAACGATTTCTTCCTTTACGCCCTGCTCTTGGCCTACGGCATGGCCTATCCCAAGCAAGAGAAGCGAGCGGAAGAGACCTTTCTTCGTGTCCTGGATTTGTTTATATAGATATCCCCATCAATCTCTTTGAGGATTTTCAGGCCCACCCTTAGAGGAGAAGGATCTAGCTATATCTCAACGTTCTCCAGATATTCGATGCCCTCAAAGATTGGGAAATGCTTCCTTTAACTGATGAATGAATGAAGCATTTCAAGACCCAAAATGATCTGTTTATCTGCTTCCGGGATAAACCTGTCGTGCTCCCAGCATCTTCCAGGTTGCAGCTGCTTTTGGCTAAGTAAAAGGAAGTTGACGTCAGTCTCTTTGGATGTTTCTGTCCTTGGTTTGAGGCATCTCTAGATCACTCTGCGCAAACTGTTTATGGTGTATGTTTTTAGCTGGCGTCAAGGCGAAAGCGGGCCATGTCAGCAATATCCTACTATTGTTATGGAGGATGCAGGTGTTATAACTTCCAGAGTGGTACAGTATGATTCAATTTGCAATCCTTCTATTTTATAAGCATCCAAGGAGCCAGACCCCCACCCTCTTGTCTACATAGGCGTGAGTGGGATTTCATGTATTTTCGGCTGTAACTGACAGGTGTGGTGCGTCAGGGAGATGTACAGATCAACAAGCACCTCTTCTTTGGTCTCTGCCGCGCTGTTGGCCGTCCAAGGGCCAGGCAGCTCATAGACATGTGTTGCATGAATTCAGTCAGTGCATAAGGCTGAAGAAGGAAAAGCATGATGTGGAGCCTCTGGTGGCATGGTGAAATCAAGAAAATTCGATAAACGAGCTCCAAGTAGTGCCCATAGAAGACTTGGAACTGAGATGCCTTGCCTTTTTGACGTAGTCAGGGAAGCATGAAGTCGACTCCGGAGTCTAGACAAAGATCGTTCAAACAAAGACAGCCGTCCTATCCTTTCGGTAGCCATGCGCCAGTGGCTCTGCCAGTGTCCGCCCGGCAACATGGGCGTAAATGAATGGTATGCGTGTGTGGGAGTGATGGGAAAACGAGCGTGGCAGCAATGCGGCAGTGTGGGAAGACTTCGCATGAGATTCAGGATGCTTCCAAGGAGGATTTTGAAGGTTACAGACCCAAGACACATAGAACCATGACTTCATAGGGTTCCATGACTTCCCTGTGCATGTTAGTGTTAATCGCTGGACGCTAGCTGTTAGCTATCTTCCCCTGGCCTTCACCCCCAAGATGTATATGCGGTTATATGTACATCTATATAGGATTCTTGGATTATTACGGATTACCCACAGCCTCGAGCAAACGTACAAAGCTGACCATAGGCTCATTCAACTCCTATCTAACATCAGTTTGCTTTCCCTTTTTCGCTGTGAGGAGTTGCCGAACACCGATGAAAGGTCATGACAGATCGGTGAGTCGAGAGCGATTGGAGAATTGGAGACAACCTATGAGCGATAGCCTCCAACCTAAAGAGAATTCGGTATGTCCACTCCAATGGCTGCAACGGCAGGGAGTCTTCGGACCCGGGCGGATGAATAGACCCCCTATTAGGTACATATGTTTTTTTCTTTTCAGCCACACATAAACAAAGACTATACTCACAACTTGGGACCATTTTGTGTACCCAAATGCTGACCTTTATCTAGATCTAGAATGATCTATATATATATAGATATAGGTATATATATATATACATATAGATACAATATCATTGGTCAAGGATGTTCATGTGTTAAAGGAGTGCCTGCCTTCTTCCCGCCATCTTCGGAGACTCATTCTTCATGAGGCGTGGAGTGCGAGGATTGCCACAACAACCTGGCGGAGAAGGGCGGCCTTTCAGCCTTGGTGGAGCAGCTGGAGCGCAGAATGCGAAGCGGAAAGGGTGCACTTTGAATCAGTTTGAGGTATTTTCCGGAATCTGGTCTTTGGTCTAGAGGCTTCAATGAGATACTGTGCTTTACAAACAGTTTCTAGAGGATAACATGGGTGGATTTGCTGGATTGTTTTTCTTGGTGTGCCAGTTTTTGGACTTTGTGGATGTGTGGAGGGAAGTGCCTCAGAGACTCTCATGACAGAAAGAGCCTCAAGTCGCATCCAGTAAACATGGCACGGTATAACAATATAGTGCAACTGTAGTGGAGCGTAAAGGGAAGCCCTCCTCCCTATGCCACCCAAGGAGGAGATAGACTATACTTAGTTGGCCATAGAATTATTCATAGGGATGCATGTGCCCTATCAACAGAGACATGCGTACCAAACAGAAGGATTGACTCCAAATTCGATCATTGGGCTCTAAGCCAAAAATCTCATATGCATCCCCAAACACAGGGAAGCAATAGCCGACACGATTGAATTATGGATTGATCGCAAGCAGACACAAGCAGACCATACACCGTGGTCTTTTGGTGTTTTTGCTTTTGCCATTTGCCGTCCTCGAAGATTTGTAGGACTTTAGCTCGCTGGATGTCAAGAAGGACCATGACCACGATCTCTTGCTCGAGGCCCTGTAGCCTGGTAGTAGAGGGAGATGGAGGACTCCAATTTCTGGGGACCCGCATACATGTGGGGACCCAGTAATCAGAGCTAATGACCACTTATTTCCTTGAAGCCTGTGACTGTGACATGCTATGACACGCTCGGCATCAGCATCTTTCTTCAGAGTCAAGAAACTGCGTGCGAGACGATCGGGTGATTTGTTCGAAAAAATAGGGCTTAGCTTAAATCAAGCGAATGCTCAACTCACCACAGGCAGTGTGGAATCTCGAAGATCTGCGACTTGGTGTTTCGAACATCTGGCACACGCGTGGTGAGAAAACGTGTGGCATGTTTCTTGTGGCGCGAATGGAGACCTTGGAAGATGTCGTCGTAGTCGTGGTCTGGACTGGTAGCAACTGTAGGCCTCCGTGCGGCTTGGAGGTTCCGCAACCAAGGGAGAATCAGCACGAATTGAATCAGATGCGTTCGGGGATTGGATACCTGTGGCAGGCATATCCATTTCGGCACCTCAAACATGTGTATCTCAATCTGGCTCCTTTTTAAGCAAAACGTTCAACTACTGTAATGATGGCACCCCAGAAGGTTGTCAATTTTTGACTCACAGGACTCACGATAACGTTTTTGCACAAGACTCGGGAGAATGACTTTTGTTGACATCAGTTCAATTCAAGTCTCCAAATGTCTTTCTTTAGGGCTAACCTTTGCATCATAGACTGCTCAATCTCGCAGTTGGGTCTTAGTTATTGGCCTTGGCATTGTTTCGAATGTTTTTCTGCCAAGGATTGTGCACCAAGATGGCCACCCCTTGGAACGCCGGAAAGCCCAGCGGGCAGGTGACTTTAGCACCTATCTACTGCCCTGTCCATTTGGAGTTCATGATTTACAGCAATGCATCTCATATGACCCGATATGACTCATATCCGATACATTGACATGCAGATAGGCTGCCACAAGGCGACAACCACATGAGATCCTTCGCTTGTTGTCTCGCAATCGCATGCAGGAAGATACTCTCTTTGGTTCAGACCGGATCGACTCCCAAATGGACAACAATATAAGATCGCTTTGGCAATGCTCCTCCGCTGCACTTCGCTTGTTTGCAGGCTTCTGTTACCTGGCGGTTGAGGCATGGGTTGCAGATCTTCGGGCTCAACTGGATTGATGGACGAATCTTGACTTTTGGGGTGCAATCCTGTAAACAGTACTTTGAAGTTTGATGCCCATATACCTTTGATTTGTCCAGAGAATGTCGTTCCATCCGTTGCCCTTCCTTAAGTAGGAGTCCAGGCAGGGGTACAGATGTGGCTCCAACGGTGAACGGAGGGGTTTCCAGACAACAGGAAACAGAGACCATGTTCATTCTATATACGGAACCCAAAGCGGTGTGGGAAATTCTGTCAACCGCGGGTAGTTGGGTATCAAGTTGTGAAACAGCCCCGCTACTACTTGTTTCCAAGTTCCATCTCTCGAGCCAGGCCGGTGCCATTGAGAAGCTGCAGAAGCTACGGGAGGTGAAGTGCAGAGGGAAATGGAAACCACCCGGCAACTGGGTGTTCATTCAACTTCTGCTCAACAGAGTCATTAGTTCTCAGGTATGCGCACGTGTGTCAGCCAAGTAGACACTCAAGAATCAAGTGCCCTTTGAAAACATCATCTGAGAAAGCTCAACATTTTGTTGTACCGCCTGAGAGACCAACGGCATGCGGCATACTGGACTATAATACTGAGGACCTAAAATTCCGAACTGACTAGTCATCATCATTCCATCATTACACAGATCACTGAACTCAGAGGAGGTTGACCAGTCAGACAATCCTTACTCATAGTGGGAGCAAGCAGAGGAAAGCCTCTGCACCATCAGGAAAGCGACCAAGCAGCCCCACAACAACCTTCACAGCTACGATCCTCGCTTTGTTTGCTTCTGTGAGACGATTGTTTATTATTCCTGGCCAAGTCAGATTTTCCAGGTGGGCGCCGGCGAGCTGCTTCTTGCAGTCGAGAAGTTGTCCCTTGGCGATTTTGGAGTCATATTCACATTCACTACATGGAGCCTTCAAGCGCTTTTGGTTTGCACCCTTTTTCAGGTGTCAAGATGGGTACCTTGAGGTTCGATGGGGCCATAAACAGAACGGTCCACAATACCTGCACTGGTCAAACACACGACTGCAGCTTTCCTCGAACTCCAACGCCCAGGCTCGACACCCTTAACGCCTTCATGCCGGACACCAAGGGCTAAAACGGCTCGATTGCTTCAGCTTTCGTGCGCCGGGGGGCTCTGTCGGCCTCGCGCGCTATGAGAAGTGACCTTCTCGCAGCGATACCATCGGGTATCACGACATATCGAGAGATTCAACCTTGTTTCAAGAACTCAACCACTAGTTTTGACAGAGTCACCCGATAGCTGATGGTCTTAACATGTCTTAATGCAGGTAGAGGCCATTGAACGTATGGCTAAATGATGCTAAATGCACTAAAATCCCGGAGGTTTAATGACTATGTTCTTGCCTGAAGCAGAGAATATTCAATTCCAATGAGCCAAACGGAGTTCTGACCATGAAACATTATTCGCCCTTTTAAAGGAAACAACATGCGGCAGCAGCAGTGCTTATGGCAGTGCTTACAGCAGTGCTTACAGCAGCACTGCGCAATGCGCGAAGCCGACGTGGAAGAGCCGTCGTTGGTGGAGGGTAGAACTTGGCCCGTGATGCAGATGGGTGGGGTCTGTAGAGACGTCAAAGGATTTACGCCACGATCCGCTGAAAACAGACTTTGATACCAGACAGGTCGGACAGATTTTCCAAAGTTTGGCATCTACATGTCCGCTCAAAGAGGATAAAGAGGCAGAGAACTACATGAAGAACCAGAACGAGAACATAAGCAAGATTATCAAGACGCTCTTTGCTTCGTTTGCCTTGTTGAAGCTCATTACAAGTTGTTCCTGAATTGCTTGTCTTGCTGGATTTACTTACACTTTATCACTTCTCTTTGCTCAGAATTGGATTTTCACTGCTCAGCTTCCGTCGCTGATGTTGAGGAGTCTACAAGTGGCCCCACCTGAATCCCCAGATGGAGGGTAAGGGAAACCTGGGATTGACTTTTGCATATAAAACCGGATTGAGGTAGCAAGGACACTACTAGGAGCAAGGACGCTACTAGGGGCTCCTGGCCTTACTACTAGGAACAAGAAACTATTAGCAACAAGAATTAGTATTAGACACAATAAGCTACTAGGAACAAGTGCATCGCTTCTAGTAACAAGTGCCTTACTAGTAGTAACAAGAAGCTATTAGGAACAAGAAAGTCG